GGGAGACGGGATGGAGTTCTGGGCACCTGGCTTCAGTCTGAACAGCCCTGGCCATTTTGGTCATTTGGGGAGTGACCCAGAAGGCGGAAGCTGGCTCGCTCTCACTCTCTCTCTCTCACTCTCTCTGCCACTCTCCTCTTCAAATAAAAAGTATCTTTAAAAGAATACTTGGTGGGGCCAGTGTTGTGGCACAGCAGGTTAAAAACCTGGCCTGCAGCGCCGGCATCCCATATGGATGCCGGTTTGAGACCCGGATGCTCCACTTCCCAGCCAACTCCTCACTAATGCTCCTGAGAAGGCAGCGGCAGATGGCCCAAGTCCTTAGGCCCCTGCACCCACGTAGGAGACCCGGAAGAAGCTCCTGGCTCCTGGCTCTGGATTGGCTCAGCTCTGGCCGTTATGGCCATTTGGGGCGTGAACAACCAGTGGAAGGACGACCTCTGTCTGTCTGTCTCTCTCTCTCTCTGTAACTCTTTCAAATAAATAAAATAAATCTTAAAAAAATAAATAAATAAAACCTTGGTGTCTGATGCGATGCTGTACCAAGAGGCAGTGGCTTCCACCCACTGATTCACTCACCAGATACCAAAGCCGAAGCCTGGAGCTTGGAACTCCGTGAAGTCTCCCAGGAGGGTGGCAGGAACCCAGCTCTTTGAGCCACCACCTGCTGCAGCCCAGGGTGCGCCCGAGCAAGAAACCGGAACAGGGCTCGGGGCCGGGCACGGAACCCAGGCACCCCAACCCGGGACGTCTGCACCGCCGGCTCCTCCGCTTTGGCGCCCACTCGCCACCGGCCCGCAGCCTGCAGGGGACGCCCACGGCCGCTAGGGGGCGCGGAATGCCCGCGTCCGCACCCAGGGCCCGGCACCCAGGGAAGGCGGCTCTGGGGCGCGCGGGGACCGCACCCGCGCGTGCCGTGCGCCCCGCGCCGCTCGACGCGGGCCAGGAGCAGATGTTCCGAGGGTGGCGGAGTGTGGGCCGGACGTGAGAAGTCGGCGACCGTCTCAGCGAGGCCGTTTGCCTTGCTGGGGTGGGCTGGGGCGGTGTTGGGGGTCGGCCCTGGCTACGCGGCGCTGGAGAGGGGATCCACGCTGGCTTGTAGCTGCAGAAACCAATGTCAGGATGATTCCAAGAAATGGATGCAAATGGCGGCTTTTGCAGAAAAGAGGAAGCGGGAAGCCGGCGGACAGAGCCTGGAGTGGGAGTAGGAGGGGAGAGTTGTCTGACTGCAGGCTGGGGGAAGCGCTGGCCTTTGTGCTCAGCGCCTTGGGCTGTCCCAGCCTGTGATTCAGGGTGCCCCAGGGACATTGTTGTTTGTTTATTTGAAAGGCAGACCGAGAGACATTTTTCATCTGCTGGGTCACTCTAAATGCCCATGACAGCTAGAGCTGGGCCAGGCCTGAGGCGGGGACCCAGATCTGGGCCAGGTCTCCCACAGAGATGGCAGGGGCCCAAGCACTTGAGACATTAGCAGGGTGCCCATTAGCAGGAAGCTGGAATCAGAAGTGAGCCAGGGCCGGCGCCGCGACTCACTAGGCTAATCCTCCGCCTAGCGGCGCCGGCACACCGGGTTCTAGTCCCGGTCGGGGCGCCGGATTCTGTCCCGGTTGCCCCTCTTCCAGGCCAGCTCTCTGCTGTGGCCAGGGAGTGCAGTGGAGGATGGCCCAGGTGCTTGGGCCCTGCACCCCATGGGAGACCAGGAAAAGCACCTGGCTCCTGGCTCCTGCCATCGGATCAGCGCGGTGCGCCGGCCGCAGCGCGCTGGCCGCGGCGGCCATTGGAGGGTGAACCAACGGCAAAAGGAAGACCTTTCTCTCTGTCTCTCTCTCTCACTGTCCACTCTGCCTGTCAAAAAAAAAAAAAAAAAAAAAAAGAAGTGAGCCAGGGCTCAAGTCCAGGCACTCCAAAGTGGAATGCGGTTTCCCAAGTGGAATCTTTCGAAAAAATGAGGCTGGCACTGTGGCGTAGCAGATAAAGCTACTGCCTGCGATGCAGGCATCCCAAATGGTCCCCAGTTTGAGTCCCAGCTGCTCCATTTCCAATCCAGTTCTCTGTTAATGCACCTGAAAAAGCAGTAAAAGATGGCCCAAATCCTGGGGCCCCTGCACCCACGTGGGAGACTGGGAAGAAGCACCTGGCTCCTGCCTGACCCAGCCCTGACTGTCACGGCCATTTGGAGAGGGAACCAGTGGATAGAACATCTCATCTCTCTCTGTGTGTCTCTCCCTCTCTATAACTCTGCCCCTCCAATAAATAAATCTTTTTTAAAAGATTACTTTATTTGAAAGGCAGAGTTACAGAGAGAACACACACACACACACACACGGATCCTCCATCTGCCTGTTCACTCCGATGGCCGCAATGGCCAGGGCTGAACCAGGAGCTTCTTTGGGGTCTCCCATGTAGGTGCCAGATGTCCAACTACTTGGGCCATCTGCTGCTGCTTTTCCCAGGCCATTCGCAGGGAGCTAGATGGGGAGTGGAGCAGCCAGGACTTGAACGAGCACCTGTATGAGCTGCCAGTGTGGCAGGCGGCACCTTCACCTGCTATGGCACAGTGCCGACCCCCAAGTTGAGTCTTACCTGCTGCACCAGATGCCTGCCCCAGGGGACATCCTGGGGGCCGGGGATGGCAGCTGTAGGAGCTAAGGGCCGACACCCTTCTCCTGGTGATGCAGCTGCGAACAGGGCTTACCGGGTGCAGCCCTAGTCTGTGCAACAGCATTTAAAGCCTCAGGAGCACCCTAGGAAGTAGAGACTGCTCTAACCTCTTCTCCGTGTGCAGATGGGGGCTGAGACATGGAGAGGGGGCAAGGGACTCACTCGGGTCACACAGCTAGGAAGCAGGACAGACGGCTGTGGCACAGCTTCCCGACCCCCGGCTGGAGTCTCTCGTTCTTCCGTTGCTCTCCGTGTATTGCCTTTCGGACAGACTTATCTCAGAGCGTTGTGAGCAGTCAGCGACACTTTAGTATGAACTAGACATTCTCCTCCCGTTACTGAATACCCATTGCTCTAGGTTGCAGCGCCCCCGCAGGGTAAGGGTTAAATAGTTGGGCTCTGCAGTCACAGTGCCTGCGATGGAACTCCCCATTCCCCAGCTGTGTACTTTGTTGAGCGACACCCCCAGTCTGGGCCTTGGTTTCCTGTGAAGTCGCCCATTCTCCAACTGAAGGTACCGAGGGGCCCCGCACGTCGTCAGCACCCCAGGCTCCGTGCGTCTGCTGCCCCCACGGAGATGAGGAACCAAAAGCAGGTTCTGTGGGAGGGAAGTACAGGAGTCCCCAGGCCAGGGCCCAGCGGGGGGACGCCAGAAGATGGTCACACGGCCCAGTCACAGCCCAGCTGTACCATCCCCGCATTCACGCATCACACCAGGGGGCTGCAGAAAGCCCACGGGAATGCGTGTTATGCAGAAACCGCGTGCATTTCAAAATACCTTTAAAGTGGCATGCACTTGCTTATTTGAAAATAAGTGACAGAGGGAGAGAATGAACTTGGCATTCACCGGGCCAGGCTGAAGCCAGGAGCCAGGAACTCCATCCGCGTCTCCTATGTGGCACGTGGGTGGCAGGGGCCCAAGCACTTGGGCCATCTTCTGCCGCCTTCCCAGGCGCCTTAGCAGAGATGGGGAATAGAACAGCTGGGACTCTAAGAGGCAGGCACTCCAAGCAGAGACCTAACCACTGCACCACAGTGCCTACCCCTCAACACATTTTTGCACCGAAATAAGCTTACCTTTTAATTCTGTATTTCCATAAACTTATTTATTTGAAAGGCAGAGAGAGAGAGAGGGCAGGGCAGTAATTTATACCCATCTGCTGGTTCACTCCCCAAATGCCCACAACAGCCAGTGCTGCTGTGGACTGATCCAATCTCCCACCTCGGGGGTGCAGGGACCTGGGTACCTGCTGCCTCCCAGGGGGTGCATCAGCGGGAAACTGGACTTGAACCCAGGCCCACTGCTGTGGGATGTGGGTATCTCAAGTGGCCCTCCAGGAATGTCGGGAAGCCCTTGTATATTTGCATGGAGGGGAGGGGCCTGGTGCTCTTCCTGTTCCTGCCACACAAGGGCTCAGACCACTCCCTCTGGGGGGGGGGGCAACCCTGGTGGGGATGGGGTCCCCACCACAGTGGAGCTGAGACCACAGCTCCGGCCCGCCCCAGGCCTAGGCACAGTCACAGCCCAGCTGTACCTCTTGACTGCCCGGAACTGGGACACCCAGGTCTGCTGTTAAAACATGGAACTAGTTCCATGGTTTCTAGTAAACAGCCACTACTCACTTCCGGCGCCCAGGCCTACTCCAGCCGGACCGGCTCACCCCTCAGCTCCGGTGGGGAGGGGAGACGGGAATGCTGCCCATCCTGATTGGCGGACAGCCCTGCCAATATCCGGTGTTTTCTCTGGCCCGGCCCGTTATCAACCCCACCACCCACTAGGCCAGAGTCCTCCAGTGTGAGTGGTTCCATGTCATACATATTTCTGTGCATTCTTCAAGGCCCCACCTTAACGTCTCTTCCTTTGGGAAGCCCTCCAGGATTTCCTTACTACTCCAAGAATGAGTGGCTCCTCCCACCCCCTCAGCTCCCAAGAATCATGGACCCCTGGGCACTGGCCACTCTAGGGCCCTTTTTCCCCATCGGGGGACAAGCACTGGCGTGCGAGGGGCCGTTTCTGTTCATCTCTGTGGCCTTGATCCCAATGGCTGCCCCGAGCACACACAGACAGCGCCCAATCCAGGATGGAGTGAGGCGTTGGCTGCGTGACCATGTGCGTCTCCCCGGCCCAGGGGTCATCCCCGCAGTGGCGCTGCTGGCCCAGGGGTCATTCCCGCAGTGGCGCTGCTGGCGGGGGCGTGAGGACAGGATGTGAGGCCCCGGGGCCCCGCGCTCTCAGGCTCTCTGGCCCCGTGGGAGCCAGGCCACAGCTGGAGGGAGGGTGGGAGGGTGGGAGGGAAGGGAGGTGGGCGCCGGGGCAGAGGAGACACAGCCACTCGGTGTTATTGTTGCAGAACCATTAAGTACAACTCGGAAACAAGCCGGGGGCGGCGGGAGCGCCGAGGGGGAGGGGCCGCAGCGGCGGGTGCTGGGGTCAGGGGGGCGCGGTCCGGGCTCGGTCCTGCTGGGGGCTCGGGCTGCCGTCATCCGAGGGGCTGGGCTTGCGGAGGCCTGGCTGCTTGTGGAGACCCCGCAGCTTGGCCAGCAGCTCCTGGACGAAGTCCTGCAGGCGGGGTGGGGGTGCGGGAGCTGAGAATGCAGGGAGGCGGGCACCCTGGCCCCACCCAGCCCAGTGTCCCTCCACCTCCCCACCCCGGCCGGCCCCTCCTTCTGCTTCCGGGTCAGCGAGGGGAGGGGAGAGAGAGCTGGGGACCAGAGAGATGGGCAGGACGGACAGATGGGGGAGACAGAGGGAGAGGGACCCATCGGCAGAGGCTCAGACGCTAACCCTGGGTCAGAGACGCACACAGGGACGAGGAGAGCGTACTCGACCCGGGAGATGACCAGGAGGGTCCCCAGAGACCCGGGCCTGAGCCGGCTCCAGGGCAGACACGCAGTGACGTTTGTCCCGCGGGCGCCCAGGGCCCCGCGGAGAAACATGAATATTTTTCCCTTTTAAAGCAGGGAAGGAAGTGGGAGGCTGGGCGGCTGGGTTTCAGGGCCAGCGAGGATGCCGGGCCCCTGAGAGAGGTGGCGGGGAGAGAGCGCGCTGGGAGGGTGGGCCTGTGGCAGGCAGAGGCTGAGATGGGGGAGGGGGAGGAGTTCCCGCGGCAGATGGGGAGGGGGGAGGGGGGAGGGGAGAGGAGGGGGGCTGCCCAGTGTTCCCACAGCCTGGCGGGTGCTGGGGCCCAGGGACGTCTACGGGGGGCAGGAGGGGGGCCAGGGGGACTCACCTCTGTGGGGTTCGTGCAGGACTTCAGGAGTCCCTAAGCAACCAGCCCCCGGAAAATAAACAAAAAAAAAATACAGTAAATAATTCACACCTACGCCTCGCCATGGCTAACCTTTCCCAGCAGAGCCCCAAGGCAGCAGGAGAAATGAAAGTCAGACTGCAGGGTGGACTGCCCAGTCTGAGGGTCTCAGAGTGAGCGGAGCAGGATTAGGTCACTGTGTCCCCAGGAGGTGAGAAGGTCACACAGCCTCCTGTAAACCCAGGAGAGCAGAGGCCGCTGGAGCAAAGACCCAGAGGCCATACTGCCCAACTCCGCACCTTTGGAGCTGTGCGACCCGGGGCAGGTGGCGAAACCTCTCTGGGCCTGAGCTTGCTGTTGGAGCATGAACGCCTGCCTCGCAGGGTTGTGTGGGGCAACCGAGGGCTCCTCTGGGGGGCAGCTCTGCCCCCCACCTACCTGGATTTTCCGGCTTCTCTCCTCCTCGTTCTCCAATTCCAACAGCTCATCAATGTTTACCTCGTCAGGCATGGCTGCCTCCTAAGGCCAGGAGTGGGGGTGGGGGACTGTGGTCAGGTCCCCTTCCCCTCCCATCCTCCCTCCCTCCCTGTCTTTGTCCAGGGAGCCCAGCGGCCGGCCCCAGGGCCCAGCTGGCGGGCTCAGGAGCCATAATGTGGCAGTCAGGGACAGCGCCGCCAAGGCAGGACAGCTGGGAGTTGGGGGAGGGGTGACAGATGGGTCCATGGAGGCCTTGGGCCCAGCACCAGCCCAATGCCTGGGCCTGTGAGTCCCAGGAGCCTCGGGGCTGGCACGGGTCTCTCCTCTTGGCTCTGCTCCCACAGGGAAAACAGGCCTGATCGAGTCCTGGAATGTCAGATTCTGGGATTCAGGAGAGGGGCTGGCTTCTGTCCTTTCAAGGAAAAGTCTCAGCACTAGGTGCGGGGTGGGGGCGGGGGGGGTGCGAGCAGGCCAGAGCCCGCAGGAGCACCCCTGCCCCCTGGAGACGGGAAGGGTGGGGAGGGCTCAGGGCCAACCCCCCTCCCCGGGGCCAAAGGGCAGCCTGAGTGAGTGCAGGCAGGGGACCACCAGGGGCCCTAGGCTTGAGCTCTGGGCTCGCAGCGGCACAGAGCCGGATGCTGAGTGGCCTCTTGGGGCAGTGGCCCCGAAGGAAGCTGGCTCAGGATGGCTGCTGGGGACAGGACCCAGCTGTCCTGAGCGGGCGGCCCCTATGGCTTCAGACTCCCCCACCCACTGCTGACATGCTGCTGTGGGCTGTGGGGCGGCAGCAGCGGCTGGGTTTGGGGTGTCTGATGAGCCGGGCTGCATCCGAACCACAGCTCGGAACCACGGCTCGATGCTCAGGGCCCAGGACTGCCGGGGTGCCGTGGGCTGCGTCTCCTCTGTCTCACTGCCGTGTGTCCGGCAGTGCCCACCCTGGGGATGACCTCTCGGGAGGCCACCAATCCCCAGCGACTCAGTGAACGCACACGCGTGTGAGAACAGAGGCAGTGGGACTGTGGGGGCCAGCTTTACCCCCCCCCCAGCATGACTTCAAACAGCGATGAAGTTTGTGTCTGTCCATGCACTGGGGGCCTTCAAAAGCCGCGTGGAAAATGCCTATCAACGGAAAACCAATTTCCAAATAGTCTTCATGCACATTCCATTTTCCACGAAATTTTTGAAGCAGCCATGTGAGGCTGGAGCTTGGGCCGTGGGGGGGGGGGGGGCCTGACCCGTGGCCAGGGCCTGTCCCTGTGCTGGTCCTGGCTGATCAGAGCCCCTTGTGCAGGACTTCCTGGTTGGTCACAGCTGGAGCCCCTTTGTGTGCGCCCAGGGTAGCTGTCCTCGCCTGTGGTTGTCTGCCGCTCCAGCTGCTGCGCCTGTGAGGAGCTGGGCTGGGAGTCGTGTGTGTTCCTGCGTGGTTGCTGTGTTGTGCGTCCGTGGCCTGTGCTGTTGTGTCCACAGCTGCAACCAGGTGTGGACCAGAAGCGTCCCTGGGAGTTTGTGTCTGGCTGTAGCTGCGTCTGCAACTGCTGTTTCCTGTGCTGTGCGCGCGCGGCGTGGCTGTGTTTCTCTCTTCCCTGTCACCCCGGCTGTCTGACTTCCCGACTCCCCCACCCTTTCTCCTGATGCCGGCCTCTGGCCTCAGCTTTGCCTCCTCACCTCCCTGCTGAACCCCTGGCCCTGATCTGGGGGGCCAGGTGTGCGGTGGGGCGCGCGGTCAGGCCGGATGACCCGCAGGATGGGCGGTGTGTCCTGCCGCGTGCGCACCAGCGAGCGTGCACCCAGGGGCCCCAGGAGCGCAGGTCTGCAGAACCCCGTCCCCCACCCCCACCCCCGCCTCACCCTGCCGCGGTACAGCTCCTCCAAGCGCCCGTCGATCCACTTCTCCACGTCCAGCCGCCGCTGCAGCTCGCGCCGGTCGTACTTGACGGTGACACGCGCGTGCCGTTTCTGCAGCCCCCCGGGGCTGCCCCCCGGCCCGCGGGCCCGCGAGGGAGCCTGCAGCTTGCTCAGCACCCGCTTGCCCAGCCGCTGCGCTGCCATCCCCTCCGCCGGCCGGCCCCGCGCCGCGCGCTGTGCGCCTTCGCCGCGCGTCCGGGGTGCCTCTTACGGGCCGGGGCGGGGCCGGCCGGGGGCGGGGTCGGGCCAGCCCCGCACGCCCTGGCCTCAGTTTCCCCGCCTGCCGACCGAGAGGCCACTGCGCTGGCTCGAAGCCCACCGGGTTCAGGCATGGGCGGGGCCCGGGAGCCTTAGGATAAGCGCCGGCGGTTGGGGCTCCGGGGCCTGGATGCCGCGGGGCGGGGTCCTGGGACAGACGGGGACCGAGCCGTGCCCACGCCCTCTGGCGGCCACGGGGGGCGGCACAGGCGTCCCCGCGCCGCGCTCCCGGCGAGCGGTCACGCCACGGGTCCCTCCCTGAGCCATCGTTTGTTGGTTCGCCCGTTCAGTCCCTCGTGCATCCACCTCCCCACCCGCTCGCTGTGCTCGCGAACACGAGTGCCCTGGGCGCCTGCTCTGCCGCACACCGTCCTGGGTGGGCACTGGACACTGGGCACAGACCCACGAACAAAAGGCAAGCCCAGGAGTCTCGGAGGCCACGTTTGCGTGGCGCGGACAGCAAGCGCAATCAGCACAGAACATCCTGCTGTGCCAGCTCGGGGCTGTGGGCGGACAGGCGCTGTGGCGCCGCGTGAAGCCGCTGCCTGCAACACCGGGGTCCCGGCTGCTCCGCGTCCCATCCAGCCTCCTGTTGATGCACCAGGTAAGATGGTGGAGGATGACCCGAGTACCTGGGCCCCTGCACGCACGTGGGAGACCCAGAGGAAGCTCCTGGCTTCAGCCTGTTCTCCAGTCCCAGCAATTCACTTTTGGGGAGTGAACCAGCAGATGGAAGATTCTTTCTCCCTCTCTATCCCTCTCTGTCTCCCCCATCCCTTCTGTTACTGTCTTCCGAATAATATTTTTTATTTTTGAAAATATTTTATTTATTTGAAAGAGTTACAGAGAGGGAGAGAGAGAGAGAGATATCTTCCATTCACTGGTTCATTCCCCAAAATGCCTGCAATGGCCAGAGCTGAGCCAATCTGAAGCTAGGAGCCAGGAGCTTCTTCTGTGTCTCCACATGGGTGCAGGGGCCCAAGCACGTGGGCCATCTTCCCTGCTTTCCCAGGCCATCAGCAAGGAAGCCCATATGGGATGCTGGTGCAGCAAGTGGGGGCTTAACCTTCTATGCCACAGTGCCAGCCCCCGTGACTGTAATTTTTTTTTAAAGATTTATTTATTTGGAAGGCAGAGTTAAAGAGAGGCAGAGGCAGAGAGAGAGAGAGAGAGAGGACTTCCATCGCCTGGTTCACTCCCCAGATGGCTACAATGATCTAAAACCAGGAGCCAGGAGCTTCTTCCTTGTCTCCCACGCAGGTGCAGGGGCCCAAGGAGTTGGGCCATCTTCTACTGCTTTCCCAGGTCATAGCAGAGAGCTGGATATGAAGTGGAGCAGCTGGGACTCGAATCACGCCCGTGTGGGATGCCGGCACTGCAGGCAGCAGCCTCACCTGCCTTGCCACAGTGCCGGCCCCTGTAATTTTTTAAAATGACAAAATAACAAATATTGGCAAAGGTTTTGAGAGTTTACAACTCTTACACATTGATGAAGGGACTGAAAACTGGTCAGTGGAAAACACTGGCAATTTCTCAAGAGACCTGCTGGCAGGGTGGGCATTTGGCGTAGCAGTCGGGACAGTGTCTGAGATGGCCACACCCAGATCACAGAGCTGGGAGGCTGGAGTGAGGCAGTCCCTGCCACCAGGTGGGAGTTGCAGGCTCCTGGTGTCAGCTATTGTGGGCTTTCTGGGGAGTGAAACAGCACTGACTGTGCTTCAAAAGGGTGTTATGTGAATTTTAGCTCAACACAGCTGTTATGTTTCTTAAAGACCCGCAGCCCTGGGGGCCCGGCGCCGTGACACAGTAGGTTAATCCTCCGCCTGCGGTGCCCGCATCCTATATGGGATATATATAATGGCGCCGCAGCTCCAGCCGTTGCAGCCATTTGGGGCATGAATCAACAGATGGAAGACCTTTCTCTCTTACTGTCTGTAACTCTACCTCTCAAATAAATAAATAAACTTGGCTGAGCAGTTGAAGCTGTGCGAGGTGTGGTCGCTTCTCAGCCCCTTTCCACCCATCACTCGCCTGGGATGATGGGAGGGCTCACTTTGTAGTGCAGCTCCCCTGGCCCTGACCTGCCTCCGCCTTAGCTGTAACACCGGCTACTTCCTAACACTCTATGTCATTCGCTCCTTTTTATGAGAGCTGGCAACTGCGAGCAGTGCCCATGGAAGAATCATCTAGCCACCCCCGGCAGGAGGAAATGTTTTGTTCCTCTGCTTTCTAAACAACGGAAGGAATTCTGTCCAGGTTTAATAATACACATGTAAGCTTAACCTCAGACATTTTTATTACCCTATCCCATAGTAAACATTGTATCTTAGTGTTTTCCTGTCCTGAGGCATAACAAGTTAGCACAACTTTGGGAGCTTCAAGCCGCCCCTGTGTGCAATCTCCATCTCACCATGGTTCCGGATCTAGCCCAGTCATCAGGGCAGGGGGCTTGCCTGGGCAAAAAGCTACTTGTAGGGATGAGGTCTTTTTTATTTAAAAAATGTTTTTATTATTTATTCGAAGGAGAGAGAGAGAGGTCTTCCATCTGCTGGTTCACTCCCCAAATGGCCAACAGCAGCCAGGGCTGGGCCAGGCTGAAGCCAGGAGCCAGGAGCTTCATCCGGTCTCCCATGTGAGTGGCAGGGGCAGCTTCTGCTGCTTTCCCAGGAGTATTAGCAGGGGGCCGGATGGAAAGCAGAGCAACCAGGACTCAACCAGGTGGTGGCTAAACCCACTGCACCACGATGCAGACCTCAAGGAGGAGGTCTCTGTTTTCTTGCTGGCTGTCAACCAGGGCCCGCCTTGGCTGCCAGAAGCCACTGCACACAGGCCCCTGCCACACGCCCCTCTGCATGAGTCCTCCTACAGTGTGGCTACCGACTCCCCTACAGCCAGACAGGTTTCTGTCTTCCCAGTCGGTAAGGTGGAGTCTGGCATAGCCACATTGCTTCTCTTTGCCATGCTGTGCAGGTTAGAAGCAAGGCCCAGGTCCTGCTCATACTCCCAACAGGGAGTTCTACCGGGTGTGAACATGGGGGCTGCCCTAACGTATGTTTGCCACAAGCTCCTGGAGGCAAGTTAATATAGAAACTCAGCTACTTGTGTTCATTTTGAAAAGAAGTTTTTCTTGGCCAGCATTGTGGTGCAGTGGGTTAAGCCACCACCTGCAATGCCAGCATCCCATATGGGCACCGGTTCCAGTCCTGGCCATTCCACTTTCAATCCAGCTTCCTGTTAATGCACCTGGGAAGGCAGCAGAAGGTGGCCCAAGTGCTTGAGCCCCTGCATCCATGTGGGGTCCCCGCCATTTGGGGGAATGAATCAGCAGGTGGAAGATCTCTGTCTTCCGCTGTCTGTAACCCTGCTTTAGAAATAAATAAAATAAATCTTAAAAAATATAAATTCTTAACAATTTGAAATCATTCAGGCTTGCAATACACATCTTGAGTCTCTAAACTCTGTGATTCTCCATATTCTTGCATTTATGATATATTAAAAATAAAAATGATAGCGTAATCATGGTAAGGATCAAGCTATTCTGTTGTTCTATATATTCCTGTGAAGTTCATGTTTTAACTTTTTTTTTTTTTTTTACTTTTTAAAAATTTTTTGACAGGCAGAGTTAGTGAGAGAGAGAGACAGAGAGAGAGTTATAGACAGTGAGAGAGAGGTCTTCCTTCCGTTGGTTCACTCCCCTATTGGCCGTTATGGCCGGCATGCTGTGCTGATCCAAAGCCAGGAGCCAGGTGCTTCTCCTGGTCTCCCATGTGGGTACAGGACCCAAGGGCCTAGGCCATCTTCCACTGCCCAGCTGGGCCACAGCAAAGAGTGGATTGGAAGAGGAGCAACTGGGACTAGTACCCGGTGCCCCAACTGGGTCTAGAACCCGGAGTGCCGGCGCCGCAGGCAGAGGATTATCCAAGTGAGTCACGGTGCCAGCCCTATGTTTTAACTTTTAAAAAAAATATTTATTTATTTATTATAGAAAAAGCAAAGTGACAGGAGTGAACTCTTCTATCTGCTGGTTCACCCCCAAATCCCTGCAACATCTGGGGCTGGGCCAGGAACGCCATCTGGGTCTCCCACGTGGGTGGCAGGAATCCAAGTTCTTGGACCATCGCCTGCCGCCTCCCCGGTGCACTTGCAGGAAGCTGGGTTGGGGATGCAGAGGAGCTGGGCTACTGACTGGCACTGCACATGGCGCGCGGGCAGCCCGAGCAGCAGCTCCCCCCGTTGTACCCGCACTGCCTACCCTTTGTCTTTAAACTAAGACCGTGCAACAGAGAGGGAATGGCAAGGTATAATGTTTTATTTGGTAAGGGCAAACTTGCATCTCTATGTAGAACATGTATTTTTCTGAATTTGAGGGCTATCTCTTGTTGAATTAAAATAACAGGGCCTGCCGTTGGGTACAGCAGTGAAGACACTGCCTGGGGTGCCTGTATCCTATAGCAGACTGCCTGCACTTCAGACTCCAGCTTCCTGCTAACAGGCATCCTGGAGGTAGCAGGCTGCAGTGCTTGGGCCCCGCCACCCACGTGGGAGACCCAGATGGAGTTCCTGGCTCCTGGCTTCAGCCTGACCATCGCAGTCATTTGGGGAGTGAACCAGTGTATGGAAGTCTTTCTTTTTATCTATCTGTTGCTCTGGTTTTTTTTTTAAATATTTATTTTATTTACTTGAAAGAGAGTTACAAAGAGCGGGGGGGGGGGGGGCAAAAAAAAAAAAAAAAAAGTTTTCCATCTACTAGTTCACTCCCCAAATGGTTGCAACAGCTGGAGTTGAGCTGATCCAAAGCCAGGAGCCAGGAGCTTCTTCCCTCTCTCTCTCTCTCTCTCTTTTTTTTTTTTTTTTTTTGGGGGGGGGGGGGAAGGGCAAAGGGAAAGGGAAAAAAAAAAAAAAAAAAAAAAGGCTTCCTTTGCCGTTGGTTCACCCTCCAATGGCCGCCGCGGCCAGCGCGCTGCGGCAGGCGCACCGCGCTGATCCGATGGCAGGAGCCAGGTACTTCTCCTGGTCTCCCATGGGGTGCAGGGCCCAAGTACTTGGGCCATCCTCCACTGCACTCCCTGGCCACAGCAGAGAGCTGGCCTGGAAGAGGGGCAACTGGGGCAGAATCCGGCGCTCCGACCGGGATTAGAACCCGGTGTGCCGGCGCCGCAAGGCGGAGGATTAGCCTATTGAACCGCGGCGTCGGCCCAGGAGCTTCTTCTGAGTCTCCCACATGGGCGCAGGGGCCCAAGGACTTGGGTCATCTTCCGCTGCTTTCCCAGGTGCATTAGCAGGGAGCTGGATCGGAAGAGAAGTAGCCGGGACTCAAACCTGAGTCCATATGGGATGCTGGTACTGCAGGCCCGGGGTTTAAACTGCTGTGCCACTGTGCCGGCCCCTGTTGCTCTAATAAATAAATAAGCACATCTTTTCTGTAAAGGTTTATTTATTTATTTGAAAGTCCGAGTTAGAGAGAGAGAGAGAGAGAGAGAGAGATCTTTCATCTGCTGGTTCACTCCCCATGTAGGCACGGGCAATAGATAAATCTTTGAAATATAAAATAAAAATCTACAGGAGACCACTGCTCTGGAAAAGTCCCTGCATGGGGTCCCAAACAGATAGCGCTAAAAACCGGGTTGTTCGTGCTGGAGCTCCGAGCTGAAATGCACAGCTGTGTGTCTGACATTCCAGAAATCAGGACTGGGAAGAAACAGGCCAGTGACCATGACACTAATCCTTCCACAAAAGAAGGAATCTGGAGCAGTCTGACTTTCACCAATCCGTTATCTTTCTATTGTTCTGTGTCCCTGCCTTAGCCTTACAAGGCAAATAACTTTGAAATGATCAACTGGCTTTTTGTTCTTTTGTTTCTGCTTTCTCTGTCTATAGAACCAACCCTTTCTGCTCAGCCTACTAGAACGTTCATTCTATTTTATGGAATTAGGAAGTCGGATTCTGGGGCGGCGCTGTGGAGTAGAGGGTAAAGTCGCTGTGGCATAGGGGGTTGAGCCTCTGCCTGTGCCGCCAGCATCCCATATGGGCGCCCTGCTAACGGCCTGGGAAAGCAGTGGAAGATGGCTCAAGGGGAGACCTGGAAGAAGCTCCTGGCTCCTGGCTTTAGCCTGGCCCAAGCCTGGCCATTGTGGCCATTTGGGGAGTAAATCAACAGATGGAATATCTCTCTCTGTCTTTCCCTCTCTCTGTAACTCTGCCTTTCAAATAAGGAAATAAATCTAAAAAAAAAAAAAGGAAAAGTATTCTTTTTCAATTGTTATTTTAAAACTAACAAATACAAGAATGATTTTTTTTACAAGATTTTATTCTAGAAAATTATCTTCTGGCAGACAGGAGATGTACTGAAAAATTACCCACTGGGGGCCAAATATGTGCGTTGCACTCCCCAGGGCTCCCGGCAGGGTGCCTGGCTCACCTCGGGTGGAGGAGGGAGGAGTGAAGGAATGAGTGAGTGAGGGAGGACTCCTGTGTTTTCTCCCCAGCCTCGCCCTCCTGCCCCTAACCACCACCACCACCACCACCACCCCCAGGTTTGTGCACCAGCCGAGGTTCAGTGGGAGGGGGCGGGGTTCGGGATTCCAGGGCCCAGAGAGACCTTTGGCCTCACAGCTGGAGCTCCGCGGGAGATTACAGTTGCTGGTGTGAAGCCCTGTTTCATGTAAACACATGGTTTGGATAACTCAGCTAATGCTCTTCAGGTATCCCAGGAGCAGGAGGGAGGCCGCGCAGTGGGAGTGGCCCCAGCTCCTGGAACGGCTGGTTGGCTGCTCCTGACCATGGATGGATCCATTGTGAAGCTTGGTGTCTGGCCCTCCCCACCCTCCCTGAGCCCCCCTCCACCGCCCAATCCAAGTGATCTCTCATTTCCTTCCCAGCCCCTAAATCATTTCCCTCATGGCATGCATGCATAAGTGGTTCTTTTTTCTTTTCCTTTTTTTTTTTAAGCTTATTAGCTGTTAGACTTTTTTTTTTTTTTAATTTTAGTTAAAAGAGAGAGGCCCGGCGCTGTCATAGCAGGTTAAGCCTTCGCCTGCAATGTTGCCAATCCATATGGGCGCTGGTTCAAGTTGTGGCTGCTCTTCTTCTGATCCAGCTCTCTGCTGTGGCCTGGGAAAGCAGTGGAAGATTGCCCAAGTGCTTGGGCCCCTGCACCTGTGTGGGAGACCTGGAAGAAGCTCCTGGCTCCTGGCTTTGGATCAGCCCAGCTCCAGCCATTGCGGCCATCTGGGGAGTGAACCAGCGGATGGAAGATTCTCTCTCTCTCTCTGGCTCTGCCTCTCAAATAAATAACTTTTTTTTTTTTTTTTTTTTTTAGAGAGAGAGAGAGAGATATCTTCCAACCACTGGTTCCTTCGCCAAATGCCTGAAACAGGGCTGGGCTAGGTTGAAGCCAGGAGCCGGGAAGTAGGCATGGACCCGGGGACCTGAGCCATCACCTGCCGCCTCCCCGGTGTGCATGTGCAGAAAGCTGCAAAAGCAGAAGCAGGAACTCAGGTGTCCCAAGTGTCGGTTTAACAGCTGCCCCACATGCCTGCCCCTGCCACTTACGTGTGATAACAATGCACTTACTTACTTATTTTTAAAATATTTTATTTATTTGAAAGACAGAGTTACAGAGAGAGGTAGAGACAGAGAGAGAGGTCTTCCATCCACTGGTTCACTCCCCAGATGGCCGCAATGGCCAGAGCTGCGCCAATCCGAAGCCAGGAGCCTCCTCCGAGTCTCCCACACGCAGGTGCAGGGGCCCAAGCACTTGCGACATCTTCCACTGCTTTCCCAGGCCATAGCAGAGAGCTGGATCAGAAGTGTAACAGCCGGGACTAGAACTGGTGCCCATATGGGATGCCTGCGCTTCAGGCCAGGGCTTTAACCTGCTGCACCACAGCGCTGGCCCCTACTTATAAAAGATTTATTTATTTACTTGAAAGTCAGGGTGCAGGGTGTAGCGGGTAAAGCTGCCGCCTGCAGTGCCAGCATTCCATATGGGCACCGGTTCAAGACCCAGCTGCTCCACTTCCAATCCAGCTCTCCATTATGAAGAGTCCTTGGGCCCACATCTCTCTCTCTCTCCTTCTCTGTAACTCTGACTTTCAAATAAATAAATAAATCTTTTTAAAAGAAAGAAAGAAAGAAAGAAAGACAGGCAGAGTGGTAGAGGGGGAGGGAGAAAGAGATCTTCCACCTGCTGGTTCACTCCCCAGATGGCTGCAATGGCCAGGGCTGGGCCAGGAGCCTGGAATTCCATCCTGATCTGCCACACGGGCGGGAGGAGCCCAAGCACTTGGCCACCTTCAGGCGTTTTCCCAGGCGCATTAGCAGGGAGCTGGACTGGAGGTGGAGCAGCCGGGACTCGAACTGGTGCTCATATGGGATGCCGGAGTTGCAGGTGGCCGCTCAACCCGCTGTGCCACAGCACCGGCCCCATTTAATAATGCATTTATTTTAATTCTCTCGACTGTCCTATGCTTCTATGCGTGCCCTACTACACCACCGTGGAGAATCAGCTCATATGTGTCCCCCCCACAACAGACGCAGACTCCCAGGCTGGGTCAGGTGTTTTCCTGCTCTGGGGTCTTGTCACTCTGCCTAAGCTTTCCTATTGCAGCCCTGACAAACTTCTACTGTACTGTCAGGTGAAGTCTGTCTCGGGACTTGTATGGGGAACCCGGGAGGCAGGGCCCAAGGCCGTTGCTCTTTCTCAGGTCTACCACCTCCTCCAGGAAGCCCTCCCAGGCCCTCTGTCAGGGCCTCTGGGCTCTCTCCATCAGAGCTCTGCCCTATGGTTAAAGCATCACTACTCTGGACTGTTTCTTGTGTAGTAACACACAGTGGCCGCCGCTGGGTCTCCAGGAAGAAAAAAAAATGCCTTACCTACGAAGGAAGACTGAGACCCAACCACAAGGTTTCCAAGAAACGCTTGTCAGCCGCCCTCTCCTCCCCCCAACCCCTCCAAGGATCAGCTCAACAGCAAAGGCACGCACACGCGGTCGCCCACGTTCCTGGCTCGGCGCTTCGCGGGCTGCTGCCCCCACGCGGCCAGGTCCGGCTAGGGGTGGGGCCAGCGCAAGCCACGCCCCTCCCGGCGCCAGGGGCGGCCCCAGGTGCACCGAGGGCGGGGGAGCGGCCGCCCAGGTGTCTGCCATCTGCGCCTGCGCCCTGCACGCTCCGCCCCGCCAGGTGCGCCCCGCCTCCCGCCTGGCTGGCTAACTTCTAGCTGCTTCCAGGCGTCCGCCATTGGCTTTGGCGCCCCCCGAGTGTCCGGGCGTGCGGCGCGATTAGGGACCAGGGAGGGTCGCGGGGTGTCGTTGGGGGCGAGCGCGGAGAGGGCCGAAGCGGTCGCGCGCGCTTTCGGTTTCCAAGGTCGGAGAACGGGCCTTGCCAGAGGCTTGCCCACTCCGCGGACCCTCGGGGGGCGCCGGCACCTGAGCGCGCGGCCCTCCACTGCGCGTGCGCGGACAGGGTCTTCGCGCACCTGATCGCGAGAGAGACCCCAACGGTCGCCGGCTTGAGGCCTCGTCTGGGCGTCCCGGGTGGAGCCGGTTATGGCGCAGCTGTGTGGGCCGAGGCGCTGCCGGGCGCTCCTCGCCCTGCTGGCATCGCTGCTGCTCTGCCGGGCCGAGGCGGCCGGCGGGGAGCGAAGCATCCACGGTGAGGACCCGGCGGGCGTCCCGCGGGGATGGGTGGCGGGGAGGCCGGAGGCGGGGTCCGAGGGGCGGGAGAGCTGCGGGGGGCGACAGTGTGGCGTCCCGGAGCGCGGTGGAGCCGTCGGAGGGGGCCCGGGGGGAGGCCCGCGGGCTGCGGGGAGCAGGGGTCGCGGGCCGGGAAGGTTGCCCTTCGTGTGGCAGCGGGAGCCCGCGAAGCCGACCCGAAGACCGGATCAGGGGCCCTGGCGGCGGGGTTGGCGTCCGTGCCGGCCCCTTTGGGTGCTGGGCAGCGGCGTTCCGTGAAAGCGGTCTGGGTAGAGTGGGTGCCCAAGAAGAAAGGGGTGCCCAGCGGGAGCCGCACGGAGGAGGAGGAGGAGGAGGAGGAAGTTGGCTTCAGGGGCGAGGGCGAGGGCGAGGGTGGGCCCGAGCAGCTGGGCGTCTCCCTGTGCTGGGGCAACCTGAGCTGCCCCAGACTGGCACCAGCGGGTTCTGGGAACGGCTCTGGAAACAGGGATTCCTTGATCCCGCCACACTTAGAGGGTCCCTGCTGTGTGTCAGCGGTCTGCGGGCACAGACAAGCCAGGCTGCCGCATTCACAGTGCTTGGGTCCTAGTGGGAGAGGCAGGGCAAAGGACTGGGCCAGGGGATGCTTCAGCTCCGGTGGTCCCGGGAGCTCTCCCGCCAAGAGGGGAGAGCCGCGGGGCATCCTCGAGGATGGTGGAGCGCAGAGGCCTTGAAGCCCAACAAGCTTGGTTGTTTTTCCAGAAAAAGTCAGAGCCCCTGAGGCCGGAGCGGGAGTGGGGGGGGGGGCGGCGGCGGGAGGTGGGAGGAGTGGGCAGGAGCCACAGGGCTGGGGAGGGGAGAGGGGGAGAGAGCAGGAAGTGAGTCTAACTCTTGGGGGATGGTTAGCTTCCCTGTGCCTGAAGCAGGAAAAACAAGACCTGGTGGAGAGAATTCACTCCTGGGGCCCAAGAATCGGGGGCTGGGGGTGTTGACCCCTCTTATGGTCTGAACTGGAAATGGGCGGCCCTTCTGCACTTTTTCGGTTGAAGTAATTTTCTTAAGTCTTATTTATCTGAAGGGGTGACAGAGAGAGAGGGAGACACAGAGCCAGGTCTTCCTTTCACTGGTCCACTCCCCCAATGGCCCAAACAAGCTGGGCCTGGACCAGGCCAGAGCCAGGAACCCGGGACCTAAGGACCTGGGCTGCCATCTGCTGCTTTGCAGGTGCGTTAGCTGGGAGCGGAGTTGGAAGTGGAGTAGATGGGAATTGGAGGGACAGTGGAGTATGGGCGGCTGGTGTCCCAAGCTCAGGCTTAGTCTGCTGCCCCAACGCCGGCTCCCAGCCGAGGCAGCTCTGTGGGGTGTACCTTCCAGGTCCCCGGCTGTGACTCCAGCTGGTGCTTGCCCTGAGCTAGCTAGCTTTATCCTTGGAAGCAGGGTGATGGTGACTCTGCAGGCCCCGTCTGTCCGCGGTGGCCCCTGGCTCTGTGTGCCTGGCGGGACCTCCTGACCTCTCGCCAGTACTGCTGTGTGGCTGGTGAAATTCTTATCTGAAGTGCTGTTTGTTGGAAGTCCGAACAGCTTAATCTGAGGCAAGAAACAGCTTTGACTTTTCCCCCTGTGCTGATTGCTGTGGTTTTCTGGCAGAGCAAGGTCAGCTAAGTGTGAGGTGCTTCTCCAGCTGCAGGCCGCTGCACAGGTGCCGCCAGGCGAGTGCTGGAGAAGAAGCGACCAGAGAATGTGTGCAGGGGACTTCGCAATGGTTGATTGAGGGATTCAATCCGAACACGGGCCCAGGGCTTGCAGGTGGCTGGGGTTGAGGTTCTGGGGGAATGCGCTAGGAAAACAGGGCACAGGGAGCAAGGTGCGGAAGGACCTGGGTCTGTCTCGGTGTCTCCGGGAGGTGGGGGACAAGGCCACTGCAGGCAGGGAGGGCAGGGAACAGAGGCCAGCATCATCCACCTAGGTGTGGAGCCGTGCGGCCTGTGGCAGTGTCTACAGCTGCAGTTGGGGGCAGGGAGGAGGGGTGGGAGACCTGGCTCAGCAGGTGGTGCCTGGGAGTGGGGAGGAGAGAGGGTGGGGAGACTGTGCTGCGGGAGGGGGCGCCTGGGGCTTGTCCTCTGGGGAGAGAGCCTCCTAGAGTCCGGGGCAGGAAGGGTCAGAGAAGGAGGCGGGCAAGCCGCGGGTTCCAGTCCTGGCTGCTCCACTTCCCATCCAGCGCCCTGCTCATGCACCTGGGAAGGCAGCAGAAGATGCCCAAGTGCTTGGGCCCCTGCACCCACGTGGGAGACCCAGAAGTTCCAGGCTTTTGGCTTCAGCCTGGCTCAGCCCTGGCTGTTGTGGTCATCTGGGGAGTGATCCAGCAGATGGAAGAATCACTCTCTCTGTCACTCTGCCTTTCAATAAATAATTTTTTTTTTTAATGGAAAGAATGTACTGGAAGAGATTGAGGAAGTGAGAGATGTTGCTGAAGATAGGTCTTGAGTCCGAGAGGGCCCAAGAGTTGGGAGAGGGAGATGGGCTGTTGGGGATGAGCGCCAGCTCAGGGCTGTGATAGCGTCCCCGGACGGTGTAAGCCAGTGTGGCCAAGGCTGCTTGCGGTGGACGGAGGGCAGGGTGGTTGGTGGCTGCCCTGGACACATGGGCTTGGCCCCTGGTGTCCTGACTCCAGACAGCTGTGGAGGAGGCAGGGAGAATTGAGCTTGTGTTTGTGTTGGAAACTGTCCGTTCCCAGGAGGCCTCGCGCTGCCTTGATGTGACTTACAGTTTCTGGAATTGGGAATTTTATAATGTAAAAATTTGGTTTTTGACTTTTCCTGAAAATTATGAAGATCTGGTGGAACCAGACCAGAACGCGGCAGCCTGTGTTGCCATGTAGCTTTCCAGGGTGGCTTGCCTCCCTGGACAGGACCTCTGTGTGTCCCCGTCGGTAGCGTGCCACTGGCCTCACTCGGTTCCGTTGCCTGCCTGCCCTGTCTCTGGGCCTTTGGGTTGTGACCCCCCCCACCTTAAGAATTTGTTTCATAGGGGCCAGCGCTGTGGGCTGTGGCGTAGCAGGTTAAGGTGGAGTCCCATCTGGCTCCTGGCTTCTGGCTGGCCCAGCTCTAGCTGTGGTAGCCATCTGGGAAGTGAACCAGCAGGTGGAAGATATTCTGTCTCTCTCTCTCTCTCTGCCTTTCAAATAAATTAAAAAGAGTTTGCTTCATTTGGTAAAAGATGGGGATAGGTGCCACCTGTTGCACTGTGTGTGTGTCACTGCTATCCCAAGAACCCTTTTCCCGGTCACCGCAAAAATGCCCGATTTTTCCCTCTCTCCCCGAGGTGGTGAATCCCGGAGGAGCAATGCAAGGCCAAGTAATGTATTTTCTCTTCAGAGCAGAACTGCAAAAATTCCTTTAGGAGTGGTCAGGTGTGGCTCCTGCCGCCCGCAGCTCTGAGCCTGGCCTTGGGCATCCGGGCTTGTTAATGTTTACTTGGCGCCTGGTCCTTTGTGGATTGTTCTTGGGAATTTCCACTGGCGCCCGGACAGCATTCATTCCAGAACCTCTAGTACGCTTCCAGGCAGTCCTCCGTCTGCATTCACCTGGGTTAATTATAGCTTCCCCAGAACCCTAACTAAGCGGATGACTCCCCGCATGGCTCTGGTCAGCTGGTTGGTCATCCTCTTTCCCTTCCTCCTCACGCCCGGAGGTCAGAGGTAATGTAACAGGTCGAAGCCGGAGTTGGTGATGAGCGGGGGTGCTCCCAGGCAGCGTCTGCTGCTGTTCTGTCCCTGGTGGGGGCCACGCCTGCCCTACTTGCCGGCAGGACAGTTTGAGAGACCGATTGAGTCAGCACGTATGTGCTGAGTGCCCACCAAGTGCTGGGCACCATTTTTGGCTTTGAACCAGACAGCCCGCCCTCCCCCATTCGTGGCTGGTGGTCCGTGGGAAGAGGATCGTGTACAGCAAACCTGAACAGGAGTCTGTGGGCGAGTTTCAGAAAGTTCACGCAAAGCAGGTGTTTATCCTGGGGCCCCAGGGAGGCCTGGGTTGGCTTCCCAGCTCCAGCTCCTGACTCCAGCTTCCTGTCAGTGCAGGAAGGCAGCAGTGATGGCTGAGGTCACTGGGCTTCTGCCTCCCATGTGGGAGACCTGGGTTGTGTTCTTGTTCCTGGCGCCCCAGCCCCAGCGCGTGTTTGGCGAGTGAAGCAGGGGATGGGAGCGAGCTCTCTGGCGCTTGCTGTCTGCCTCTCAAAAGAAAAAACTCCATGAATTTCAAAATTATTTATACCAAAACTTGATTCCATTTTTCCATGAAGTGGGTTTTTTTTTTTTTTTTTAAGATTTATTTATTTGAGAGGCTGAGTTACAGAGAGAGGTCTTCCATCTGCTGGTTCATTCCCCAAATGGCCACAACAGCCAGAGCTGAGCCAATTCGAAGCCAGGAGCCAGGAGCTTTATCTGGGTCTCCCACGTCAGGGCAGGGGCCCAAGCACTTGGGCCATCTTCTGCTTTCCCAGGCCACTGCAGAGCTGGATTGGCAGTGAAGTGGCACCTGTAAGGGATGCTGCCTCTGGAGGAGGAGGTGGCTTTGCCTACTATGCAGGCGCCAGGCCCTCCACGAACTTTTTGAAATGTCCTTGTCTGGTCGTCAGGGCTATGGAGAGAAGTACAGTGAGGGTTGGCGAGCCCAATCTGCAGCCGTGGCCTTCTGAGACCCAAAAGAACGGGAGGACCTTGCCTTCAGTGCCCTGAGGGAGAGTGGCCCCTGCACCAGAAGCCAGCATTTGAGAGCTGGGCAGAGAAAGCCGACTTCTCTTTCACCCTGCCCCTTTCTCAGTTTACCTAGCTGCCATTCTGCTATTCCTGCCACGCCTGCTGGCTTCAGGTGGTTGGCCAGGCAGCCAAGCCTCTGTTTACTATGACCTGAGGCTGACGAAGGAGGACCTGTAAGGGATGATGGCCTGTGACTCATGGGGGTGGGGGAGAGCCCTGCAGGGGTCACACAAAATGACTTCATT